GATATCATTTATTGATTCACCTTATTTGTATATGGTTTGAATGTAATAATGCATGTTGTACAAGTGCTTTATATGAATGTTTAGCGTGGGTTTTCTCTCCTCTGTCAAACTCCTCTTTTTTCCTTATGTACTGTCTTGCTAGAAGAGACACTTTTTGTACTGTTCCCTCTTCTAAACTTTATTTCCTTGGCCTTTTACTTCCACATCAATTCCTATGGTTTGTATTTTGTTGAAATCTTTGATGACTGGAACCCTACAACTGATCCTTTTTGTAGAGAGAACAAGAAAAAGGTGGATATGATGAGTCGAAGAACCAATTCTTCGAGGCTAATGGATACTAAGGGGAGGAAAGTGGAAAGTCAGGGAGGCGAGAGGGAAATGGGGAATGTATTCAGAGGAAACCTATGATAAAGATCAAGAGGTTAGTAGTTTCAGACTCTCTGGTAATTGGGGAATCTGACCTAAGACCTTTATCTTTTCATGCATACAATGGAATTTAAACTGTACACATTATAAAGAAAAATTTACAATAGTGATAAAAGGTATAGATTCTGACAACTGGTTTCTATGACAATACATAAATGAGTGGATTAGTGGGATGAAATGCATAAGATACTTTTTCATATCCCATCAGTTAGGAAATAGTGAAATTTAAGGTGGTAAGAAGTAGGAATTGACAGTGCCAGAGAACTATAGACACACAGAAGAATTGATATGAACATAAAGACATAATTCTATTTTATGTACTGCTTTCCAGTTTGACCAGACTGCCAACAAGAATCACTATACATTCATTAATGTTTCTCCTAAAGTCTTGTTGCATTGAACTACATGCTTTCCAGTCTGCACTAGTAGGGGACAAAGCAGTGAAAAGGAGTAAAAGTTTCCAACAGCTTTTCAGGATCAAGCACATGAACACTTGGTCTCTACTCCCTACAGGTCTGCTTTTTTTGAAGCAGAAGAAGATAAAGAAAGACTACCTTCTACCCTCTTGAATTCCATTACTCTCCTGGGATGCTCTGTGCTACATAAAGGATTCTTATTCACTCTTGAGTGAATGACATGGTTACATCTATGCCAAGCTAATAAACATAATATATTTTGGGGAAAAGCTGTAATTTTTCTATCCCATTTTGTGAAGAATATAATTTTTCCTTCATCTCAATATATCATGAAAACAACTGATTAATTTCCAAAGTATCTAAAATTGAAAATAGTTTAAAATTATAACAAAGCAAGCCTTGTTTTTCTGTACACCGGAAAAGGGAAGAGGAGAAACCTGTGGTTTATAGTTGACTGCTTCTGGAAACTACATATTCATATAGAAGTTGATCAACTAAATAATTTTATTAGTTTGGCCAATGAGTGGAAATTACACACTCTTTAGTGCACACTGCACACACCAATGTCATCAGAATTGCTTGCTTTAAGACTATTCTAAGCTCATGAAATATACCTATAATACTCCATATGTTGTTCCATCAGCTATTACTCAATGTTTTGAGAGAGAGAGAGACAGACAGACAGACAGTCAGACAAGGAAGGGAAAGGAAGGGAAGGGAGGAGAGGAAGAGAAGAGGAGAGGAGAAGAGGAAGGGAGGTAGACAGACACAGGGTTTCACTATGTTGCCCAAGTTGGCCTGGGACTCACTATCTCACTATGCAGTCTATGCTAGCCTAGAACACACAATCCAACTGCCTCAGCTTCCAGAGTGCTGGGATTACAGGTGTGTGCCACCATGCCTGACTTGCCAATAGTATTTAAAAATGTTCTTTCACCTCTGATTGAGGAATAAGCCAGTAACAACCAACTTAAGAGTACTGAACAATTTTGCACTCACTGGTTAATCTTTTGAAGCTTTATGTGGGTTTCTACAAATGAGAGGCATAGTTTGGGGGATCCACGTAGATATAGTCAACAATTACCTAGTACTATGTGCCAACCACTATTCTAAGCATGTTACATATAATAATCCTCAAAACCTTAAGTAGTTTAAGAGGTACACTGCGCATAGGGAGTTAACTCTGCCATTACTCAGCAATGATCACTTTTTATCTAAAATGTCCACATGCAGCCAGAATATCTAAACATAGATAAAACAAAAAAATAAATTTCCTCCAACTTATTTTTTCCTGAAAAATAAAAGGAATATGACAAATTTTGTTCCTCTTCTAACTGATGTATGCCTAACTGGTTCAAATTTTATCTGTGAGTAAAGTTCAGAAGGAAGAATAAATTAATACCTTTCTTTTAGATGGGGCATAGCTATAATTGTTCACCTTGACACTCAGAAGCTAATTTTTGGCTAATTAGGTAAAAAAAAAATCTAAATGGCCAATGAACTTGTACTACCATTCTACATGGACTTTTTTTTTTTAAAGTCTTTTATTTTCACTACTTAAAAAGCTTCTAAAAAGTTTTTAAAAAAAGAAAAGTAAGATTGGGGAAGAAGGTCAAAAGTTGTAAAGTATCGTAAGAGTTCCTTCATTTGAAGAAAAGATGAAGAGACCATACTGGGATTGAACTCTTCTAAGAAATGTGAAAACTTATGTAATACACAAAGACTTACAGAATCAATTAGAACAAAGTTATACAGGATTTTGTGAGAAATGGCAAATTACAGGACACCACAGAAAACACAATCATGTTTTAATTGTAGCTTATACAATGCCTTTGAACATTCACAGGATTTTATCTTGTAGAGAACTATTTAGAAAATGCAAAAATGAAGACAAAATATGTATTGCTTTAAGAGAGAGGCTTAGAGAAGCCTAAGTTCACATTACCTTCAGGTTAACTTTGAAGGCCCTCACCATTACTCTGATTTATGACACTAGCATTCTGATGATACTGTTTTCTACTTCCCAATCCCATCTTTGCATAGCATCAATCACACTTAAGTAATAAAGAACCTTCAACTCTTTGCCTCGTTGTGATTCACAGGAAAAAGTCCAACTTTCTAGCACTGCACAACCATGCTGTGCAGTATTCTCCCAAATGTGCCACTCAGGTGTGTATGCTCCCTTGGCAATCTCCCTGCTGTCCTTGACCAGACAAAAGCCCTTCATCCACCTCCATTCTCTGTCATGGTCAAATCTCAAACCCATCTTGTGTGTTTTGGCCCTGCAGGTGCAGTCCAGGTGTAGCCCTGACATTTCCTCAAAACGCCACGCAGTTTCATCTCTCTGTGTCCTTGCAAATGCTGCTGGAATGCTTTTGAAACCTTCTATCTCCCTGCTTCCTGTTGGTTAAATTCTTCCTTCAGGACTCAATCTTACATCCTTTGTACACTTTCCTGACATCCCTTGGATGAGTCAAAAACTTTTTGGGTACCACCTTGTGTTCCCCAACCGAACAAGTGAACTGTCTTTTTTTTTTTTTTCAATCATTTTCCAGCAGAGTGACTATGGACAAGTTCATTAATTTCACTGAGTCCATTTTTTCATATGTTGCAATTAGCATTAATTTCTTATCCAGTAAGTCCTTGTGCCTATTTTCAGGAAAAACGTCTACAGTGATGTTTAGGACACTTAAAGAAAGCACTTAGTGGGAAGCCCCTGAAAGATGAGGATTTTTCCTCTCCCCACCTTTCCTAATGCCTTCACGGAAGTTCTGTATGAGTACATACAATTATTCAGTACATATGAAAGAAGTAAATGACTGAATACAAGCAAGCATAATCTGCCCTTAGTGAGCTCATAATTAAAAAGTGAGTGACATAACAGATTCCACATGAATGTGATCTTAAAAAAAGGTAACAAGTGCTTATAGTGTCATCTTCAAGTGCAGTAAGAGATTTCCTGCTGTTTATTTTATTTGATGACTTGGCACATGTCGTAATTTATGTCTTAGAAATCTGCACTTAACATATGAATGTTTTAACATTATCAGAATCAGTGGAGCAATTTAATAGTTACCGAATACCTACTGCACTAGGCTTATTGAGAGTACAATGATAAAGATGACTCTGACCATAAAAGCCCATAAACATATTGAAAGGAAGCTAAGCCATTAATACTTATCATTAATACAAAGCAGAATGTCGTAGGATGTATGGAAGACCTAAAGGTAGTGCCCATTATCAAAGACATTTGAGTTAGGGCAGGAGGCCCATAAAGCTAATAATAATGGTATGTTGTAATTTACTGGTGGCCAACAGTGTCTGTTGGTATTGATAGCTACTAAATATTACATACATAGTATCTGCTGCATGCAACTGGGAATATTTCTACCACCTTTCTCCTTATTCTATTTATACACCTGCCTGTGCTGGTGTCTAAGAAACACTGTTGGCAGTCGTATCACACGCATGTACCAAGCACTGTTCTAAGAACTTTAGGTATATTTTCTCATTTACAATACTGCCATTTGACAGATGAGTTAATTGAGGCAGAGGGCTTGTTATCTTTTAAGGCTACGAGGCAAGAATAAAAACATGTACATGAGGACCTAAGAGAAACATTACACCAAATGAGAGCGGACCCGCTGGCCAGAACGGTCACCCCAAGTGTTTTTCCACTCTCCTGAACGCACCAGCGGTGACGACCTACAGCCTGGCCTTTCTGCCAGGGATTCATTTTTTCCTGAATGAGTCCAAATCTGAACTGTTGATTCTCATGCAGACACTGTCAAGCCTTCCCGGGCCGCAGGGCAAGCTGCTATTTCCATCACGGGCGGTACAGGGTGAATGAGACAAAGCTCTGGAAGGATCACAGAACCTTTCGGATTGGGGATCCATCGGCTCCTGTACCTCCTCCGAAGGAGATGGCAGCAGACTCGGCTCCCTCGGGAGGCGCCTTCCCTGGCAGAACCCTCTCCTCCTGACCCCAGGCAGCCAGGGGCTCGGCCATCTGCTCCTTCACCCTTCACCCCCGGGCGCTCCCCCGCACCACCTCCATCCCGACGCGGCCGAGCGCCAGGCCTCACGCGCCTCCCACGCGCGGCGGGTCCCGCAGGGACAGCTCGCCCCGCCCCGCCCCGCCCCCGGCCGGCCACTTACGGTTCCAGTACACCGGGTAGCACTCTCCCCGGGTCACATCCACCTCGTAGAGGCCACCCCGCACGCACACCGGCTCGATGTTCACCAGCTCCTCCATCTCGGGCTCGTGCCCCGCGGCGCGCGGGCAGAAGCCGCAGGCGCGGTCCTCGTCCTCCTCCTCTCCGAAGCTGGAGGCCCGGCCGCACGCGGGGTCGCCATCCCGGGCCTCGGCCTGGGGCCGGGCGCCCGTGGCCTGCAGCCAGGTCCGGAAGGCAAGCTCGATGCGGAGAGAGTCGTAGCCGATGAAGGGCTTCCAGGTCTTCTTGTCCTCCTTATAGAACCAGCGCACCTCCTCCGGGCCCAGCTCCGTCACCACCTCGTAGCGATGCCGGGCGGCCGGGCCGCCAGGCCGGGGGCGCTTCCTCTCCCCGGGGCCCACTCCCGCAGCCCCGCCGCCCCCCGAGTTGGTCGCGGCGAGTGCGGGCTGCGGCGGAGGGTGCAGCGACGAGGAGCTGCCGGCAACGCCGCTCTCGCCCTCGCTGTAGTAGCGCAGCGAGGAGCCGGACTCGGCCGAGCTGAAGTCATAGGTCTCGTCACTGAAGCAGGGGTCCAGGGACAGGGGGTTCAGCTCCTCGGCGCCCTGCGCCAAGTGCAGCCCCGGCTCCCCGCGCAGCAGGGCCAGGGACACGCTGCCATCGCCCGGGTCGCCGCTCGGCAGGTGCTCGAAACAGCAGACGCCGCCACTACCACCGCCGAACGCCGGAGCTGTGTCCGAGCTCAGCTCCCAGGCGCCGCCGCCCCGGCCGTTATGCTCCGGGCTCCGCGGGGAGCCGCGGCCAGGGTAATTCATGATGCCGAGACGCCGCCGCCGGCTGGCCGGCTGCGCGCCGAGCCGTGGTCCGCAGCGCTTCCGCCACACATTCAACGCCGCCGCCCTCTCCGCCGGGAGTTTTTAATCTTTCAAATCCTCAACAGGGCTGCGGCGGCAGCGGCGGCAGCTCCGCCCCCTGAGGCCCTCGGCCGCCGCAGCCGGGTTCTGGGCCCCGCCCCTTTGTCACGCACCCGACGTGGGCGGGGCTTGGGCGTTGGCCCCGCCTCCCGGCGCGCGCGCACCGCCCCGGAAGCTTCGTCCCCGCCGGCGCCTAGCGCGGGTGGACCCTGTCCCTTGTCCGCGAGCGAGTGCGGGGTCGGCTCAGGTCAGCTGCCAACCCGGACTTCCTCAGCACCCTGTCGCAATGTCTCAAGTGTCGGCTGCAGCTGCCTCGCCCCCGCCCCGCTCTTCTGGGCTTCCCAGCCCATTCGGGGTGAAGCTTTTCCCCACTGACCCCTGCAATTTGGGTCATGAGCCCAGAGGTTTCAGGTGCACGTCCACAGGGCTCCTGGAAGGTGCTTGCTCACGTTCATGACTTTGGGCCCGCGTGCTGTCTCACTTGGACCTGCTCAGTCACCTGCTTTGGCCCCTACTGCCTCGTAGGCCCACACGAAGGCACTCCACCCCAAGCCTACCTAGGCTCACCGTGGCATCACCACTTCCACTCAAACTGGACTCTCAACCTACCTTCCTGTGTCACCTCATATTATTGTTTATCTTTTCTGTGTTTCTACCCTAGTCCTGTTTCTCTTAGTTTCCCTTGATGGAAACGAAGTCTATAAATCTCGGCCTTTCCCACACAGTGTTCCGTGATTATAATGATGGCAAGTTCAGCCAGGTAGATTGAAAGGAAACAAGTAGGTTCTAGATTCAGCTCTGCTAACTAACTCCAGGCAAGTCTTTTAATCTCCTTGGTCTGTTTGGTTTCCTCGTCTATAAAATTAAGAAATTATTGGACCAGATGAACTCTAAAGTTCCCTCCAGCAGTGGATCCTATGACCGTTAAGGTTTCTTCCAGGTTTTAATGCGTTTCTGATTCTGTAACTCACTTTCTGGGATGGGGTGAATGCTGAGGTGCTCTTTTGTAGTTCTTTCATATTAAAAAGTTTTATTTTGTAAAACCATCACCCTAAGTGGAAAAGTCAGAGAAAACAATTTCTCCAATCTCAGTGTTCTTAATTTAAGAATAGACAGTCTTCAGTTTTACTTAGTGGAATCAGGTCAGTAGGGCAATTTTTCTTGCTCCTGGGACCTAACCTGTCAGAGATTACTTGAAGTCATTATTTAAAATAAGACCATCTCTAGAGTAAAGAGTGCTTTTGTAAGAATTTGAAAAAAAGCATTGCTTCCTGTGGGCAGATGTTGTGCTTGGCTTGGTTAGTGGAACGGGACTGGATTTTTTTGTCCCAGTTTGTGCCTTTGGCTGGGTAAACTTGTGCAGCGAACAACTTGCCCAATTGTGTGCATTGTGGTTCTGATTCAAGGCATCTAAGATCAGAACCCTTTACATCCATAATGCTCTGTGAGCATATTTCTCTCCCAATGTTTTTGCTGACAACATGAGGAGTACAAAATTGGGTGTGGACTTTGAACTATTCTCTACTTATGAAAGCATTAACTCCACAGTGTTTTGATGGCTGCCTACCTATGTGCCAGATACCTTTATGCTACCTTCTGATACAAAAGAGAATGACAGAGGCTGACTTTCTTGTTCAGGAACCTCCAGCTTAGTGGGGGATCCAGATAAGTAAACAAATACATTATAGTACAGTAGGATTGAAATAAAGGGGCATCACAACATTTAAAATATCTGTTTCTTAATAGAATGTATTCCAACTATGTAGCTAGCTATAGTTAAAATTTTAGCCAAATTTTAACTCTTTAAGGGTGGTACAATCCCTATTAAAGAATATGATTCTCTGAGGAAAATTACTCCTTGGCTTGTATTAAATAAATATTAATACTATTTAATGTTGTGATTATTTGTTAATTTTGAGATGATTATCCTCTTGTGGGTCATTGGGTAAGGCCACAGTCTTAGGCAGCATATCTTTCTTCAAGGTGATGCTGATTCTCAATGTCATCCAGGTGGCAGGAGGATGTTCTAGACTCCTGACTTTGCCATGTTGGTCTAGACCTTCATGAGGAGAAATTTCAGTCAGAGCAATCTGACCTTGCTCTGTCTCTTGGAAGTGAGCTGGGGCTAGATGAACAGCTTGTAGTGGGCCCCAGACTGACAATAAGCAATAGATATTTGGAGGTATGACATCTAATTGCACATAACAGTTTCACTGAGGCTTTCTGATACTGTCTTTTGTTTTCTAGAGCATCTTTTTAACTAATATGAACTAGACAAGAAGGAAAAGGGTCAGGCCTCCATTCCATTTCCCCTCTGCTAGAACAGGTGTTGAGTGGCTCTTTACTACTACATATTAGTGTGCTCAGTAGACACAGCAGCATCTGAACTTCCTTGGCATTACATAAAGCATTCTATTGTATTTTAATAATTACCCATGACCAAGCCTCCTTCACGTCAGGAAATTATGCATGACTGATTCAAACTTCTGGCATTTGTGGGCTGGTGCTGTTACAAGAACCAGGTGGATGTGGAGTTCTTGGTGTGGGAGAGAAAAATAGGTAAAGCTAGTTGGTTTCTACCACCAAAGACAAGCAGCTCATCTGTATTTGCTAACATCCTCCCCTTAAGCATATGGCTGGAGCTATCTGGTAACAATGGCTACCTTCCCTTCCCTGCCCCTCAGAAGTTACAAGGTTCACTTTCTTGTGGTCTTTCCCTTTTATCTTCCCTTAAACCTTGTTCTGATTGTTCATTTAAATCTGTTTTTTTTTTGCTTATAGAAAATATTGGGGATAGTCTTACACCATGTAATTTATTCTGAGCCAATCCTCCACACTTACCCTTGAAATAGCTTTATCCAGAGGGTACAGTGGAATGTGTGTATTAGAATGAAGAAAGAGGGAAGACATACAACCACCCCCCATCTGCTGTATCTCCTGCTTGATAAGCCATCCACTACATTTTACTTTTTATTTTTAGGATTTGTATTTATATCATTTCTTAAAAGAAGAGTGTGCGTTTTGATGCACTGACTAAATAGAACAACAACTTAGACCAAAGCAGGGAACATTCACTAGATATATATTAGGTGTCTATGAAGTTTCAGGCATTCTTCTAGGCTCTACATTCAAGTATTCACAATCTTGCAGTATCTTTAAATAAAACCATAATGCCAACTGTTTAATTCCTATGAGGAATATAATTGTAATTCTAGGATAGCTGCATTACCACATGGAGGTCATTCTCTCCCTGAGATCAATAGAGGAAACCAAGTTACAATCCAAAGGGAGCTTGTGAGCAGATATAACATAGGAATACATAATGAGTAAAGTCATTCATCCTTCCATTTATTCAGTCAACAAATATTTGTCTAGTGCTCTCTTAAAGATGCTTATTTTGTTTTTTATTTGTAACTGATATCAATTAAGATGTAGAATTATCAAATATATTTACTTACAGATTTGTAAAAAGCCTATCTATAAAGCTGCACTTACCAAAAACATCCACAAAATGTTTGACATTGTTTTTAGAAATAAAAGTCCATGATGTTGAAGGTATGTTTTCAAGTGAAAGAAAATGTAAATCAATAAAATATTGATGTATATTTTATGGAGGCAGCCACAAAGTCCTCATCAACTTCTTTTTTTATACCAGAAAGAGAAAATTAGGCTATATTCCAGTCCTTTCATTATAGAAAAATGAGGTCTACTGCAGATGTATTTGTTGATTTCTGCATTCTAGGATTTTTTTTCCTTATCTCACCTCAGAGGTAAATTGAAAGTATATATTTGGCTGGGTATGGTGCTGCACATCTGTAATCTCAGACTTGGGAGGAAGAGGCAGGAGGACAGCTTGGGCTATATCGTGAGACCTTATCGCAAATAGAAAAGTACATATTTGCTCATAAGGTATGTAGTTATATACTATATATGAGCCTTCAATAAAGATAGTAATCATAATGTGCTGAGAGAGATTTAGAAGTAGCATCATATATATATATATATATGCACACTTTATTCTTATTTTCATGTAATAAGGAAAGAAAAGAGGATCTACATTCCACAGGGATTTCCACCAGTTCAAATCTGATTAATTTGCTGAGTTTTTATAGTGGCAGAATTAAATTTTTTGTAATTTCTGCTTAAGAAAGTATGTTTAACTTTACATCGTGTCATAATTGTGAATTTAAGGTTTCAACTTGAAAAAAAAAATTCTTGACTCAGAAGCCCACAAACTCTTTTATTTCCACTGGGTTTTTGAACCATACTAATAGCCAGTAGGAGACAATCATTAGCAAAAGGAAATGGTAGGACTGCAAAGTTCTTTAAAAATTTAATCTTTAAGGACTGGAGGTGTGGCTTAAGTGATAGAGCGCCTGCCTAACAAGTATGAAGCTCTGAGTTCAAAGCCCAGTACTGCCCTTCACCCAAATCTTCAAGATTAAACAACCTGTATTTTAAATATAAGAAATGAGAAGTAGTGGCCATGTATTTGAAAGTCATTCTTTCTTCACTTCTTACTTTTTTTTTTTTTGGTGCCACTGGGGTTTGAACTCTTCAAAACAAATGTTCTACAGCTTGAGCCATGCCTCCCTTTCTTCACTTCTTAAGTTTCAAACTCCAGATTCAAACTAATTCTTAATCCATGGAGTTTATAGTCCTTCATTTGATTGTTCCCAAGTTAGGAATTATATCCTTTGATCATTTTATTACTTAGGTGTCTCAGTCCATTTTCTGTTGCTATAACAGAATACCTGAGACTGAGTAATTTGTAAGGAAAACAGATTTTTTTTCGCTCAGAGTTCTGGAGAAGAGAAAGTCCAAGAGTATGGCACCAACATCTGGCTGGCTTCTGGGGAGGGCCTCAAGCTGTGTGGTATCATGGTGCAGCTCATATCATGGTTGGTAAATAGAGAAAGCAAATGCTTTTGAAAGGACCAATTGTTTAGGAGATGGCTACAGGAGATTGGTTCCAGGCTCACTTTGTAACTGGAGAGGGCTAACCCACACTGATAACCACATTAATTGCTTTATGATGAGGGTGGAGTATCCTTGACCCAATTACCCTTTAAAGATCCTGCTACCTC